CTGATCACCACACCCACCAGTACTGAAGTGAGGCCAGCCAGTGAAGGGAGAGGGGTGTCCACACTGAGGTAAGCTGATCACCACACCCACCAGTACTGAAGTGAGTAGTCCAGGAACTGCAGTTTATCCAGCCTACAGTCCCACAGCTGCAGGCACACACTACTGAACACAATGATAATGTCACCAGTGGCTGCAGGGGTCTACAGCCATAAAGTGGAAGCAAAATAACGTAAAGCCATAAAAAGAAAAACACCCCTCATTCCCTCTCTCTGCACTTTTGCTCCACCTGAAGGTAAAGAAATTCCTATAAACAACTCCCTAGCATACCATGCCTGCAGAGACTTAACAGCCAACCAATAAGATGTTGGGAAGAAATCAGTTGTCTTACACCAGCCAGGATTTCAATTAAATGCATCTTTTTCTCACTGCTCAGAATAACTCCAAGAAGCATACTTCACCGCGCCACTATTTCCCAGTAATAACACCTGGAACCCCACTTAAATCTCACTACCATACCTGACTGGCAACTGCTGACACATTATGTTCATCCATAGTTCATGGCACCTCACCATTATATTGCCTTGGATATGGATAGCAATAATAAACTTATACACCTGGTTAGCCATACCTGCATCTTCCTGTCTATTCTGTGGTTCGTAACTAATTAATTGTGACCACAGATTACAATTCCTGATATTTTTACTATAAGACTATAACACTTACTATTAAATATGTGTCTAATAAAATGTTGATCCCTACTGGTTCAAGGCCCCCTCCCCCCCTTTCCTCCCCCAAGTCAGCACCTTTACATTTCTATTATCTTTGCTTACTTTGAGAAGCCCAGCTACCATAGCAATACATGGAGTTGGAAGTTCAAAACTCCACCACAACAGACCATAAACAGGACTAATGTCAACAGTTTGGCCGATAATATTAAGTGAGGGAATGGTGCCAACCTTGGGGGTATTGCCAGTGCCTCTATGTTAAAAACCTTGCACCTTTTACAAAACCAAATCACTTACACATATAATTATCATTTAATCATTTGTTCTTCTTTACCTTGGAATAAAAAACTAAGACTGAGTCACAGTTTACTTATCTAATTTACTCACAGTATAACCTTAAAATTTCTAAAACGACAAAACTGAACTGCATATATTCCTTTCCTTTTTTTGTATGACTTGTAAGTGCCTCAAAAACTATTAATAATTATTATTGTAAGTTGGCAGACCTATTCTCTGTCTAAGAATAAACCTACTTTCACTGCTACTAGTATCTGAATTTACATGCATTACACTGAACGCCTTTGCAACCACACTAGTAAAACTGCAATAAAAGTACTCAAAAAAAGGTATAAATTTTCCTTGCTCTTGTTAAAAAGATACTACAACAACAAAATCAGATATAAAAAATATTTTGTCCAACAGTGTTAACAATGTTCTAATTCCATTTTCCCAGTAAAAATCTGAGAGTACAGTCAGTGCATTCAAATCAATGTATCACATATATTGTAAATAATCTCAACTGTTATCATTATCCACCCTAGGTCCTTCATATTAATAAAACATCAGATAAAAAACAAAGTATTTTTAATCAAAACAGGCAGAGACACCTACAGATTGCATTTATTGACGAGAATATTGACTTTTGTAAGTTTTTTTTCAGAAAATAAAACAAAGTTAAATTGGAGAAATATAACATAGCACAGTCTAAAACAGCTCGAGTTGAGTCACAATGCACACAAATACCATGATCGTGTACACTTGTAAGAGGACACAAAACATAAAATCAAAGAATATTGAATTTCTCCTACAACAGTCGATATTCTGGGCATAAATAAAACACAGCATCCATTGTTAGGTACATTAACTTTCTGACCTTAATTTACTACCAACATCTTTGTGATATTGACTGAAGACATGTTATCAAACTCCTACATCTGCATTTCCAGCTACAATTTGAAAAAAAAAATCTGAAAAGAGTAAAAGAGGCCAAAAATCACACATGTGCACACGAGCAGGCACACATGTTATAACCTGCTAAACAGGTTCACTTAAGATCAATGTAAAACTTGTCTATTGCTTAGTTTCTAAAAGCAACCATTTAAGTTAGTGAAAGAAAAAAATTATGGAAAAGAGAGAATACCTTGTTTCAAATGTGAAAATGAAACTAACCTGGTCTTCCCATTGGGGAGAAGGGTTGTTCTCATGAATATTACGAGGGTGGGGGGATTGATGACATCTTATTGTCAGAAGGTCAACTCAAGGATATTGAAAAGGGTTGACATCTTTTTGTCAGAAGGTCAACTTGAGGATATTGGGAAGGGGTTGACATCTTGTTTTAGAAGGTCAACTTGAGGATACTGAAAAGGGTTGACATCTTTTTGTCAGAAGGTCAACCCAAGGATACTGGGAAGGGGGTTGATATCTTATTGTCAGAAGGTCTACTCAAGAATTAAAACATATCTACTTCATTGGAAATATACTTTAAAGTTAAGCTGTTTAAAACTATGGTAAATCAAAGAAAAAAATGCAAAAAGCTCAAAAAGTATATTTAATATGCTTAAAATACCTTCATCGAAAATATCTTCATCCTCAAAACTCTCATCTCTCTTCATCTTGAAATGTATGGACTTCCAATAAAATATCAACACGGGAAAATATTTTCTGAAG